TCTAGTTTGAAGTGAAAAAGTTGTTACCACTTGTTAGGTTGAAATTTTTTGTTCTAAAGATGGAAACAGGAAGGCAGGTTTTTCCTGTGGATCTTCTAGAGAGATATGCAGCAAAGGGGCATAGAGTTATCACACGTATGGCTGCTAGCAATGATGTGGGCTCACAACTTTTCAGTCTATGGATTGTTTTGAACTGAAATGCTACTCTCAGCTATTTAGATTATATATTCAGGAGAGTGGCTTATTGTGTTGTAAATATCAAAAATTTGAAAGTTTCTTTTGCTTCTTTAGTTCATTTTGTTCATGATAGATCCACCATAAGTGCTGTCTAAATACGTGCAAATCCACTTTTCTTCTGCATAGGGATCTTTTTTGTATGTGGTTGGATGAGCTATGGGAACATTGACATAATTATGTTTCTTGGCAAGGTCCAATTCAATCTTTACTTGATTTTGATGCATATATTTGCAATTTTTGTCTTGCCCAATTGTTAAAATGCTAGAATGATCCTTGACATATATATAAACAGTACCTGTTTGCTAATTTCTAGATTGTTGAACTTGTAGTTTATTGGTTATCTACAATGGGAAAAGTTGTCTACTGCTTTGAGTTTAGTGATTACACCCATCACTTCAAGTTTTGCGTAATTTCTTTTGTTTTGTAGGCCATTAAGCAATGCCCACACAATGGGCACAGACATACTTTGGGCTGGTCTGCCTATGGTGACCCTTTCCCTAGAGAAAATAGCAACTAGAGTTACTGGTTCACTTTGTCTGGCCACTGGAGTTGGGGAGGGGATAATTGCTAACATGTAGGTATTTTGAGAGCATTGAAAAATATGAATTGCTGCTCAACTGGCTTAGAATGTAAATGTAAAGTTGTTATGATCACTTATAGTTTGACATTGGGCCACACGGTAGTGTAAGCCCTTCCTACCCCAGCATTAGAGTTTAGGTCGTCTCCCTCTATCTCTAGTGGTGATGGATCTACCTTTTAAACAAATTGGATTTGCTAGCTTGCTCTGGTTTGTTGTTGATTGCTAACTTCTTGTTTTTAGTATATAATGAAGTATGAGAGAGTATGAAGAGAAGGAAGTAACTTTGGCACTAATTGCTCACAGTTTCAAGATCTTATCGACAGACTCAAAGTGATCCATTTGACTTGCCCTTTATTTGATGCGACACGTTAGGTGAGTTAACAAATATTTTGTAATTGGTTTGTGAGTTTTAAGTGTTTGATACTTTTTTGGTGTGTTGGGCAATGGAGGATACAAATTCGTACTGTGGGTTAGAGAGAGATGAAAATTGATGAACCATTATGAGATACAGGGAGGTTAGTTTCTAATTGCTAAACCATTTGGCGAACATTGATGAAAATTGTTGAACTATATGGCAATATGGCCTATTTTTTATAGAAAGAAATAGAGAGATAGAGCTTTAATTTCTATGTTGTTTAATTTGTATATAAATATTCTCTCAGTTTGTTATCCTATCATACAACATAGCATGCCATGTATAGGACACAAAACAATATACATACTATCAACCATGCTTCCATATGAATTTAATTTAATATTCACTCAATTTGTTATCCTTTCTATTGTTGTGCTTTTCTTAATATGGACACTGATACATGTTTAGGAATGTAGGATTAAGTTGTAATATGAGTTTCGCCATGGACTACGAGATTTGTCATGTCATCAAAAAATAAGAATTTTTTTTACTATATTTATCATGTCCATTAGTTTAGGCATGGACTATCAAATTTGTTCCTGCATGTAGGAGAATTTTTTTCCCTCTCCATGTGAATAAGTGGATATTACCTAAGGGCACAACAAGATGGATGATTTGATGCTCATTGATTTTATTTGTTATCTTTCATTATTTTATTGGTTTAAATGCATTTGTGATTTCTAAAGAAATGGCAAATTTTGCCTTTGAATTAATTTGTATTTTCATTTTTCAGTCAAAAATTATTTGGAGAATTGCAAAATAAGATCAATCGTGGTAGGGGTAAGAATATTTCCTATAATGTATTGTGGTTTGAAAACTAAGTAGAAAAATTCACTTTTCCAACACTTAGGCTTGAAAAATAGGCCATCAAGAACTAAAATCATGAAACACCCACAAGAATGCCATGAGAACACCCCAAACACCTCGGGAGGGACCAATATAACTTGTGAAAACTTACGAAACTAGCACGAGACTCCCGATTTGAAAGCTAAGTAGAAAAATGCACTTTTCCGACACTTAAGCTCGAAAATAGGCCATCAGGGGGGGGAGGCGAGGAAAAATTGTAAAACACCTACGAGAAGGCCTGGGAAACACCTCAAACACCTTGGGAGGGACCAATGTAAGTTGTAGAAACTTACGGAACTAGCACGGGACTCCCGATTTGCAAACTAAGTAGACAAATGCACTTTTTCCAACACTTTGGCTTAAAAATAAGCCATTGGGGGCCAGAATCGTAAAACAGCCAAAAGAAGGCCCAGGAAACACCCCGAACATCTCGGAAGGGACCAATGTAAGTTGTGGAACCTTATTGAACTAGCACGGGACTCTCGGTTTGAAAGCTAGGTCGAAAAATGCACTTTTCGAAAAATGTTAAATTATATATTTTATTGATAGGATAGTAATTATCTTCCTCTCTCTCTTTTTTTTTTTTTTTTTTTTTTTTTTTTTTTTAGATTGGAGATTAGAGATGGACGTGTTTGGTAATCTGGAGAGCAGGAGCTTGCTCATTTTGTGTTTTTGTTAATATTACCTTACATGCATTTTGGTTGCGTTGTAAAGTTTATATTTTTATATATATTAGGAGACATGTTTGATAATCTGCGCTTGATATTATAATTTTGTGGATATTAGGAGACGTGTTTTGTAATCCGAAGTTGATATTGTACTTTTGTGGGTATTGTGAGACATATTTCGACTGTGGTGTTTATGAAATTGATCTATATTAAATATTTTATTAAACATGTTATTAAAATGTGCAAGGAATTTTTAGTGAAAAAAAAATGAAAATTTAAAATAATAGCCCCATTTTTAAAAATGTTAATTATTATTAGTGACGAACTAAAAAACTGTTGCTAATAGTTTTCAAATAACTTTTTTCTTGACGAATAATTTTGTCACTATTGTTGTAGTTCCAACAAAGAATTTCGTCACATTTACTGAATATTTCGTCACTAACTTGAAATATTTTGCGACAAAATTGTTTTTGTCATTGAAGAATTTTTTTTTGTGCTCATTTTAGTGATGAATTGTTTTGTCACCTTAATCTATATCATTGGTGAGGATACATTTCGTCACTAAAACCCCTTTCTTAATATTTTGAGACGAAATGGATGTTATAGAAGACAAAAAATTCAACATTTAGAGACGAAAATTTTTGTCGCAAAAAATGAAGAACATGTGACGAAACGATTTTTCGTCACAGGTACTTTCTGCGATGACAAATAGACGACGAATGTGGCAACAAAATTTTTTCGTCACAAATCATTTTGGTGACAAAAATTTGGTGTTTGGAGACAAAATCAGTCTATCACCAAATGTCTTTTTTGTTGTAGTGGGTGACACACTCGTACTCTTACCCATGTATATGAAATTTTCATATATGATTTGTTGTTGCTTTTGATTCATGGACATGATCTTGCCTCTCTTAATTGAAGACTGAATTTTTAATATATATATATATATATATATAAATTTCTCTTCTTTTCTCATACAAAGAACAACGGTTTAAGGCTGGCGGTATAACATTTACGACATTTGAAGGACTTCTAGGTTCTGCTAACTATATTTTAAGTGGAATGCAATGAAAATGATCTATTTCGAGTATATTTGGGTTGTTTTGTTTTTTCTAATAAACAATTTAGAATTGAGGAAAAGCTAGAAATCCCTAAAATCTCAACCCTAAATTTACCACAATGATGTGGATTGCTATATTGATGCTGTTGATTTCTGTAAAATAAAATACCTTTGTCAGGATCCGTGCCACATAATTGTGGGTGACTTTATGGGTCTCAAGCAAGACTCTTGATTTATCTATGTTTTGGGTGATGGGACATTTGAACATTTCTCTAATTTGTCCTTGCAGACTATCAAATATAGGGACTCCCCTAAAAAAAGGGCCCCTATTCTAAGAGAAGTAGCATAAATATTTATTTATTTTTTTTGAATGTTGTTGATCCCCGTGTTGGATTACAACTTAGAGATCAGATGTTTAAATTTGTTGCTTCTTATTTATTATAGTATAGGGAATGGAAAAAAAATAAGTTTTAGTTTTGGTTTCTGCTTGGCATGCTCGAAGCCTTAATTTTGTTGCTATTCTCTTTGGAAAATGTTTATGTGTTCATTTTCTTGTGTTGGGTTTCAAGATTTGTTCTTTCATTTGAAGAAAGATTGATAGGTTGTGTAGACATATGCTGGGAACTCATTTTTGTAACTCGGTTATTTGAGGGAACAAAAACTTAGGATACTGACAAGCTTTTTTTACTCTTTTTTCATCCTTGCTTGGAAAAAATAGTTAAATAATATGGAACCATCAAATGCTACGTGACTGCATGTGTCATTTAGTGAACAACGATATTGTTTGGGTCTGGAGATATATGAAGCAAATGAAACCTTTATTCCTGATAATTAGTTGGTGGTAAGACTAGAAGGTCGCAGTTAAAAGTGCAAGTGTTTGGGCCTTGTAAACGCTGGGGTATTTTTTTTTTTTCCTTTTAAAAAGTTAGCCACCTCTCTAGGTGCAATCCAATTTCTTTGTCAAAGTAGTAAAAAGGTTGGTTGGTTATGTTATTTGCTTTGGTGATTGAATTAGCATAGGATTTGATGAACCAGACAAGTAATAAATAAATGCATCAATTCAAAAGCATGAATGCAAGATGATTTGGTTGAAACTTATGAGGGTTCAGGGGTTATTCGATATGATTAGTGGTCTCAGCAAGAGTTCTTAGGTTATTCACCAGTAAGCTGGAAAATATTGTTAGACAGTTGATAATGGATTCTTTCGAAGGTCAATATGATCAAGTATGCAAGATGGATCTTGGGTGAGTGTATTGGCTATATCAAACGCCTATGAGGGTCATTGCAATAAATAGCTGCTATAGCCTATATCAATTTGATGCATTATAGAATTGAAACTAGTGTTGCAAAACAGAGATTTTGTGGTCGGATGTCACTTATTTTGAAGTATCAGCCTTGGAATGGGTGACATGAACTCTTGTTATATTATTTATGGATAGTGCAGAAACATATTCAGCCATCATTATGAAAAACATGGTCCAAATACTATGTTTGTTATTGATCAGAATCTCTAGGAGCTGGGTCCAAGATCCAGTCATGATACATTCTACCAGCCAAATGGAACTCAATTCAATTGAGAATGACTAGGGGTGTGTTAGGCTTGCTCAGTTGTTCTCTTTTGTGTTATGATAGTTGTATGTTGCAGAGCATGGCAAGAACGATGAATATGGAATTTCACATGGACCACCCTTTGGGTTTATAATCATATTCCTATTTATGGTCAAGTTGAGTGTTTTATTTACTTAATTACTATTTTTTATTATATTGTTTAGAATAGCGTTGAATAGATTTAATGTTTTTTATTAGATTTTTTTGTAGTTAGAGTTATCTTTGTAATTTGTTGGACATGAGGATTCATATTGTTATAAGGAAAATAGTTTTGTTTGGAGTTATATGAAAACCCAGGAACAGATTCTAGTCATTGTTTTTAGTTTAACAGGGTGCAGTTCATTTCATTAAACTGTTGAACTCGTAATATTTGGTTCAACTTACCATCTAATGTAACTTGCATTGGATATAATAGGTATTCAAGGTCTCCTTCCCCCTATGTATCACAGTCTCGATCTAGATCCAAGTCTAGGTCTAAGTCCAAATCATGGTCAAGACCAAGGGACAGGTCCAGGTCTAGATCAAGGTCCAGGGGTCGTGGGAGGTATATGATAACTCTGGCTTTCTTTTCTTCGTATGACTATTTTGTGTCTGGTGGTTTGAAACACTTGTCTAAACCTATGAATGACTTGGCAAGAATAATGTTGAAAATTCTAGGAATACACTTTATGTGACTGGTTTATCCACTAGGGTGACAGAAAGAGAGCTTGAAGATCATTTCTCCAAAGAGGGAAAGGTTGGTTTTTTTGGATAGTATGTGAAAAGTGGCTTTCCTGGAATTCTGAATCTACTGTATACCTTTTCTTTTGGATTTGAAATTTATTACATGATTGCAAGAAGTTATAGATTGTGGTTTTTTGATACCAGAAGATTGATTGTCTTGTTCTTTGTAATGGTGATTGTTTAGAATTTATTTAACTAGTTGTGGATCTAGTTATTATGTTAAACAAGGCATTACTATGTTTATGTTTATTGTTGATTATTTTCTTCTTATTCTTCTAGGTTGCTACATGTTTTCTAGTTGTGGAGCCCCATACACACGTCTCTTGTGGTTTTGCTTTTATTACAATGGATACTATCGATGATGTCAACCGTTGCATCAAATGTCTAATGCTGCTAGTGGCTGATGGTTGTTGCTTGTTGGTCAGCTACTGCTACTGCAATGTTGCTATGAGGCAGTTGCCACTAGATGCTGGCCTGCTGCAAATTTGTAATACTAATATTTATTTAGAGCCTTGTAAATGGTCATTGCGTCTTTAGAGGTGTGCCTTATGGGAGAGGGATTCTTGTTTCCCCAGATGGCCCACCATAAGATATGATTTATTGTTTATTTTTTAGTTCTCTGCGTAAATAATTTTCAAATATATATATATATATATATTGTTAGCACATAAAAATATAATGTTATTTTTTTTTAGGAATCAAACATTTTTTTTTGGTAATTGATTTTATTTGGTAACAGCACTAGTGATGTTAACACTAGAGACTAGGATGGTGTTTGAGATCAATTTTTTAAGTAATTTTTTGATTTAGTGTGCCTTGCATATTTCCACAATACAAATTTACATTGTATTCATTTTATTATTGGATTCCAAGTTATTTTAACTTTTTTAAAGTGCCCATACTTCTTAGCTGGTCCTTTCTTTGGCCTATTTCCCAAATGAATTTGATTCCTAGTGCCTGTTGATGTTGGAATTCATTAGTTGGTCTAAACCAATTTCTGAATTTTGTATGCCAAGGGTGATGCTCAATCCTTGCATGTGTGTGTTTAATTATTGTTTTCTAAGAGACTATTTTTGTGAATAGGTGATTGCTGGCTTGTGGATATCTTCAATTTTAGGAAGTTGTTGCAATTTCTTGACATTGCTCTACATATGTAATGACAACAAACTTTTTTTTTGTTTTTTTGATATATCAAATGTAGGTTTTCGTTTATGCTATACCTAGTCTTAATTATTGTGATTTTCATGAAACAGCTTTCGTATTGTTACACACAGTGCCTGTATTGTATGAGAAGTATGAGGACCAAGTTGATTCGTTTTCAGAGAAAACAATGATCGAGATCAAGAAATAGTATGCAATGTTTGATGCCAAGGTTCTCAGTAAAATTCCAAGAGGACCATTGAAAGACAAGAAAAGAGCTTAGGAAAGCCGAGGCAGTCAATGTGCAATAGACATTTGGGTTATTGTAAGTTTGTGGGTGATTGTCTTGCCTTTTTGGTTGTCTTTGTTAGTTTTATGCTTTCATTTTGTTAACTGCTATTTCTACTGAGGGTTCACAATTTGGATGTATTTGGGTATTTTAGTGAGTTTGGCCTTTTAGGTTTTACACACTGCTTCTAAAAGCTGTATCAGCAGTGTTTTTTTGCCTTCACATCAACTTTAGGTGATTTCATATCAATGTTATTAGTTTGTAATAGTGGTGCCAGAGGAATGCCTCTTGTAAATCTATAAATTTTATAAAAAAAATATAAATGATTTTCAATTATTTTTGCAGTTGCAAATTTGTCGTTGCTAAAAAGTAAAGCTTTCTCGACAAACAACTTGTCAGTAAATGTGTTGCCAAAATTTTGTTTTTGCCTACTCATATTGTGTATCTAGAAGTGTATTTTTTGCCAATGCCAATTTGTCGTTTCCAAAAGTAAAACTTTAATGACAAACAAATCATCGGCAAATGGCAACATTTACTGACGTAAATTTGTCACCAAAAGTTTACTTTTGCCGACTCATATTTTGTTGTTAAAAGTATATTTTTTGCCCATGCAAATTTTGTTGGGAAAAGTGCCACATAATCATCATATTTGAACTACTTTTGGTAATGCCCCCAAAATAATATAATGAATCCAACCCAAAATCGAAAAGATAATAGAAATAATATATTTTCATTCATCAGAGTTCGTGTACAAAAGCTAACACATGTGATATACCTTCACAACCTATTCATCCTGAATCTACAGCATGTGTTGTATTGATATAAGAACTGGAAACTAATTAGATAATCATATGCCCTATGGCTTACATTTTTTCAAGTCATTGCTTGGTTACAACAAAAATAGGCCTAGCTCAATACAATTAAAGCCCTTGGCTATACAAAAAGAATACAACAAAAGAAAGAACTCTTGCTCCCAAAAGTCCCTCCAAGCTATTGCCTTGGTGGAGGAATATCACCAACACCTGAAAATGGTTTTCCCAAATAGGATAAGCCAAAGCCCAGTAGGAACAATCTAACACCATATATGAGATTTAACAAAGATATAAGTACAATGTGCGCATACAATGCCTGTGACAAAATATTCACATTTTATAAAATCATAAAATACCAAGTTCATATCTTAATCCATTTTCCTTTGATTAATTTCAATTCATGAGCCAATTTCATTATCTATCAACAACCCAACTGAGACAACAACTCAATGGTTTTTCAATTAACACAATCACTACACAAATACTTCAATCTGCCATTTTACGAAAATTTAGTCGTGGGATCGGCACCCATGTATACATGCGGATTCAGGACTTTCACCTAGGACACTCTGGCCAACTTAATTTCAATGGAGTTCATCTCCTTTCTCCTCCCAAATAATCTTGCATATACAATGTATCTAAAACATAGTCATATTCAATGACAATCAATAAGAGATTAGTTTCAATTCACTTAATCCTCATGCAATCTCTACAACACTCATAACTATTCTCCACCGATAGCCCAATATAGATATTTCTCCACAAATTGTCAATCTCAAGATAGATAGTTTATTCAATATTTCACAAGTGAGAGATAATACGTATTCTTCTCCACCATTTATGTCGACACCTATTCCATTTCACATTTTACAATACCAATTTCATTTATTTATACAAAATAAATATTTGTAACATTTTAGGGCAAACTTCCTTCTTTCCCAAATATCACCCAAATGCCAAAATCAACTATTTTGTCACAATACAACCTTATTTTCAAACCCCATAATCCTTTATATCATATTCACATAGAAACCCCTCTTTTGATTTTTAACCCAAACCCTAGGTTTCTCCAAAATACTCCCAAATCCCATCATTAATACACAACAACGAATAACTAAGTTAAAATCATATGAAGGTGTAGAAAATCACTACCTCAAAGAGAGAAGATGAGCAAGGCAAGGATGAAACTCCAAAGATGCTCAAACCCAATTTTGTTCGAATCAAAATGAAGATCTTGACACGCTCTACCTTTTTATCAAAGGCACTAGGGTAAAGATCCCAATGGATCTAGGTGAAATAGTAGAGAGACGATGAGTTTTATAGGGAGAAACTCAAGATCTAGGTTTTTGGAGAGTTTTAGAGAAAGAGAGGAATGAAAAAGTGATAGAAAATGTGGCTGCTACGAACTGATATACACGCAGTCCACTCGAGCGTGAAAAGTAATGCTCGAGCATCAGACACATTGTTCTGCTCGAGCGCAAGAAGTGGCGCTCGAGCGTAGAATATATACTTTTAGAAGTTTTATAGTCGAAGGACATCGCTTGAGCTCAAGATTGGATGCTCAAGTGCCCACCCGCTCGAGCATAGGAAATGTCGCTCGAGCGTAGAATACACTCTCCCAGTATTTGCAAGTCTGCAAAAATACTGAGTGCTTATAAAGCTTGCTCAAGCACAAGAATGGCAGCTCGAGCGGAGGAGCAAAAATCTGGGCAACAAAGGTTTGGAAAATCAAGCTACCAACTTGTTCCAAACACACAATTACAATCCAATAACCAGATTTAAGAAAGAACAAGAGGGAAAAGACATGAACAACCATACAAGGCTATGGAATCCGAGTCCAAAACACAAAATGGGTCAGGTCTAAACCAGAAACGTTATCACCTTCCCCCTTTAAGGAATTTCATCCCCAAAATTACAATTCAAGTTTCAAAACTATGTTTTAAGCCATTAAGACAATGATTAGCATAATAAAAATCTCAGTATATATTCAAACACCAACAAATAAGTTTGGATAATTCTCTTGGACTTCCAATTCACGTTCCCAAGTTGCTTCCTCAACTCCGTGGTGTTTCCACAGTACCCTAACCAAGAGAATCGTCTTGCCTCGCAAAACTTGATCCCAAGTATCTAAGACTCTTACCGGTCACTCCTCATACGAGGTATCCGCATCTACCTCTAAGTCTATCCAATCCAACATGTGTGATGGATCCAGCTAATATTTCTGAAGCTTGCTAATATGAAACACATCATGAACCCCAGAAAACTGTGGTAGTAATGCCAAACAGTAAGCTACCTCCCTGATCCGCTCAAGGATCTCAAGTGGCCTAATAAACTGAGGGGACAACTTCCCACTCTTCCCAAATCTCATCAAACCCCGCCTAGGTGATATCTTCAAAAAGACATGATCTCCCACATAAAGACAAAGGTCTGCTCCTACAGTCGGCGTAACTTTTCTAACGACTCTGAGCCATAACCAACCTCTTACAAATAAGTGCCACTTTCTCCGTCGTTTCCTGAACCAACTCTGGACCCAACAAACGTGCATCACCCACCTTGGCCCAACACACCAGAGATCTACACGGTCGGCCATAAAAGACCTCAAATGGTGCCATGCCAATACGTGATTGGAAGCTATTATTATAGGCAAACTCCACTAAGGGCAAATGCCTCTCCCATGACCCCTTGAAGTCATCGACATAACCTCGAAGCATATCCTCAAGGATCTAAATAGTACGTTCGGACTGCCCGTCAGTCTGAGGGTGATACGCTGTGCTAAAAGTCAGTCAAGAGCCCAAGGCACTCTGCAAGCTCTGCCACAACCGAGCTGTGAAATGCGAATCTCTATCTGAAACAATCGTCACAGGGACCCCGCGCAATCTTAATGTATCCCTGATGTAAAGGTCGGCAAGATAATCTACTTAGTCACTTACGTGCATAGGAATAAAATGGGCCGACTTAGTCAGCCAATCAACTACCACCTAGATGGCATCACTACCTATAGCTCGATTTTTCGTGCTCTTTCGGATACGACTAACCCTACAGTTTCAACTCTCGTGGTTCTGAATATGATTCCACAAGTGCAATGTGAAATAGATAAACACAAAAGAGTCTAAATCCGGCAAATCTTTTGGAAAATCAATTTTGAATCAAAATGCCAATAATGGACTGCTTTGCCAGATACAAAGTCGCCACCTAAATATTTTTAGAAAATTTAAGAAACCCGGGACTCGTGCCAAAGGCCACTTATCCGTCATCACCAAAGTGTCTCAGCTTAGGAACTTAGGTATGATAGGGGAAGGTCATGAATTGAGCACCCTCACTCACCCGATCAATGATCGGCCTCTAGTAATCATGATGTGATTCTTATTTATATTATATGCTCTTGTTCCGATTATTAGGCTAACATTAATATGTGGAGCACACACAAGTATAGACTAATTTTCAAGAATCGAAACATTTTATTTCATCTTTGTTCTTTAAAAAAGTTTGCGAATATGCCACTTGAAAAAGTGGGTTCAAATGTATATTAATCAAACTATCCCAACTCAAGCAACTAGCCTTCATCCACAGGCATTCAAACGGTTTATCATTTAAATACTTAGCCTTGTGGTGAACATGCTTTTGACATGGCAATACTAACACATGCAACATGCTAAAACACTAAAAGCTCACCTAGTACTCCAAGGCAAGCCAAAGAAAACAAAAGAATTAGAAAACATGCATGCCCCTATCAAATGAAATATGACTAATGCATCACATGCAATATGTAATCTAAATAGGCTCAGCTACTTAACATGACACGTGAATCAATTTAAAAGCATGCGTCTTAAACACGTATTCAATGAAGTATTTTAACTACAATGCTTTGTTAGAATGATGAACTGAGCCTCGATTCATGCAAGACAAGTGGATGCAAACATGGGAAATGCTAAAAAAAGCATGATTTTCTAAACTACCCACTATAAGCAAGTAAATAAAAGGGAGAAAGACGTGAGGTTGGAATACATACACATTATTACAATTGTGCCCTTGCACATGAGGGTCCGAATAAACTAACTAGCTAACTATTTACTACGAATTAACTAACTATTACAAATCAAATGAAATAAA